TATCTTTTAAACCTTCTCAGTTGTGTTTGTTAAAGCCACATGCTGGTTTTCCAGCTTTAAAGTATCCGCTGTGAGGCAGCCTAAGGAGGGCGTTGGCCTTTTTCTTTGCAGGGACTTTGGTCAGCTGGCCTATGAGCTGTTGGATCAATCCTACAAACACGACGAGCAGGTGGCCATGAAGCTCCTGACCTACGAGCTAAAAAACTGGAGCAACTCCACCTGCCTGAAACTGGCTGTAGCTGCCAAACACAGAGATTTCATTGCCCACACCTGCAGCCAGATGCTGCTGACCGACATGTGGATGGGCTGTCTGAGGATGGGCAAAAGCAACAGCCTCAAGGTACCAGCAGAATACAGCAGCAAGGTTTTCTCAGGAAAAAGGTAGAATAAAGAAACTGGATTGACAGAAAAGGTTAAGAGTTTGTTTGCTTTTCAGAACTTCACAAGTTAAAATATAATTTTTAAATTAAATAGGCCCAAGGATAGAACCCTGAGGGATCCCAGCAGTACTGGAGAGGCATCTATATGTTAACATAATTCTGTTAAGCTTGACCTTTGTCCCCTCCCCACCCTGTCTCCAGGTCATTTTAGGGATTATCTTCCCTCCTGCCATCCTGCTCCTGGACTTTCGTCTCGGGGATGAAGCTCCTCATCATTCCTCCAAAGGAAGCAATGATGGAAAAACTAAAGATGACAAGAAGTCAAACAAGGTATAAAACTCTTGTGTCATTGCCATTGGCATAAAATTAGGCTGTTTGAGTAACTAAGACTTTGTTTCAGGATGCAGCATCTAATGTTGACGCTACTTCAAAGAAAGTAGATGAAGAAGAAAGTGAGAGTGACAAGAAGCACGGGAAGAGGGTTCCTATCGGGAGGAAAATCTATGAGTTCTATAATGCCCCATTCACCAAGTTCTGGTTCAACACGGCAAGTGCACATTTCAATATTTAAAATAAGAAATATATAAAAGGGCATTTCAGATAATAAAAATAAGTATCTGGTAGATATAAAAAGACTGAACATTTATGAATATTTTCCCTGAAACTTCGTGTTTGACAGAACTGCAACAGACAATGGTTTTGTTTTTTTTTTATTTATGTTTTATTAGTTTTCTTATTTATACAACATGTACAACAAATTCAACTTAATCACCGTGGGGGGGAAAGCAAGGCAAAACAAAACAACAACAAAAGAGACAAACGGACCAAAACAAACCAAGAAATACAATGACATTATACAAACTCGGGCCTCCCATTTTGTACATATTTCAACCAATATTCATCAAATGAGTCCGCCTGCCACTTTAGCCTAAAAATTATTCTTTCCATAACAAAAATAGTATATATCACATCAATCCATTCATCTATAGTAGGAGTATCCTCTTATGGCGTTGGAGTTATGGCCTTTTTGGAAGCTACCGACAGCACACTGAACAAATATTTATCCGGTTTGCATAGATTAAGACTCTCTAAGTTACCTAAGTACAATAATGCAAAATGAAATTGTATTTTCTTTTGGAAGATTGTTTCCATGACCTTATGTATTTCCTTCCAAAATGGAACCACACTATGGAATGCCAGGACTGCCATAATGAATTAATTAAATACACCATTAAATAATTAATTAAATGTGGCAATAATTAATTAATTACATGTGTCATAACTATTTATTTAATTAATTATTTCCCATTTTAATTAATTATTGCCACATTTAATTAATTATTTAAAGGTATATTTAATTAATTCATTATGGCAGTCCTGGCGTTCCATACCA